CTTAGAAATTTACCTCTAAAGAAGTGAGATGATTTAACTAATTTCTTAAATACTCAGTAATCTTAACACTTAGAAATATCATTGTTTTGGTTTCCTTAATGCTGCCAGTGATGGGCTTTGGTAGGATATTCCTTCGTCTTTATTTCGTTTTACTGGGATGCATATGAGTATGTGGGGAAGTCTGACTGTTTAGCAAAGGTGGTTGTTCCTTAGTTTGCTCTTTTCTTTTCTTCCTCTCTCTCTCTCTCTCTCTCTCTCCCTCTCCTCCCTTCCTTCCTGCCTCCCTCCCTTCCTGCCTCCCTCCCTCCTTTCCTTTCATATTCTCTCTCTCTCAAATTACCTGGGGCAATATTAAACTCTTTCATTGAGACAGTGTCTCATGTTGTCTTGGCTTCGAACTCAGACCCTCCTGCCTCAGTCTCCTGAATGCTGGGATTGCAGGCATGCACTACCACACCTGGCAATTCCTTGATATTTTCTGACACCGGTTATGTCCTTGCTAACAGCACAAGGACTGGCTTAGGGATTTTGGCAGCATCTGTAGCACCAGTCTTTGTATGACATTTCATACTTGGTGAGTTCAACCAACCTTGGTCTCCCACTATGAGGCTCAATCACTTTTGGAGAGGCTTAATGGTCGAACTAAACACAAAAAGTAGAACTAGGGCAAAAAATCAGAGGAAATGCCCTTCATACAGCTGAACAGTAGTATGGCAATGAAATCTGAGCACAAAAGTCATTCTAAGTATCTACTGTAATAATGAAAGTTTAGGTCAATGAACCATCCAATTGTGTGCATAACAAAGATAGGAAAATATTGGACAGCGAGGGCAGAACCTTCGAAATTCATGTCCTATCCCTTAATTTAATTAAGGTTGTCAGTTCTTCAAGGGTATAGTGTCATTCTCTAGTCTTTGCTTTTTAAAAAAAATAGATGTTTATTCTTTCTGGATATATTCTTTTTTTTTTTTTTTGGTACTGGGGTTCGAACTCAAGACCTTGCACTCTTGAGCCAGGTGCGATGCCACTGAACTAAATCCCCAGCCCTTTCTGGACATATTCTAAATGACTCAACTATACCCTTTGCAGGCTACTGGTCATTTCAGACTCTCAGCTCCTTGTTTTTATTTCTCCCCCAAATATCTAAATGTGACAACCAAGAAAGACTGATATCAAATTCATGCCACCATAAGCAAATTGATAAATGTCTTTTCTAATATTCTAGGAAGGAGAAAAACTAAACAAACCTTGGTGGCCCCAGTCTGGATGCAGATTTAAGATAATTTTCTTGGATCCACCAAGGTTTGGAAAGGTCGTAGATATGAGTACTTGATATCTTCCTGCATTTGTGAATGGCCCAAATTCTTAGTCAAGACTAACACAAGCAAAGAATGAATCCTATATGGATTAAGAGGCAAGTCACATAGGTAATATATTAACTCTAGGCTTTGGGGTTTAATGTAGTTACCTGTCTTCTCCCTTCACAAATGCTAGGCAGACATGATTAAATATCTCACCTTATAGTGGGCAAAGTCATAAATTATTACAGAATCTGTCAAATCAGAGTCTACACAGATTTCCTTTAATAATTTGGACAAACCCTTAAGCAGTCAAACTCCATCATTAATCTATCAAATTAAGGAGCATCAGAATAACAGAGTTTTAAAATACAGATAGGTAGTAGAAGCTCTTAGTTCAAACACCTTTGTGCTTGGAATTCATCTTATCTTCAAAAAAAATGGGAAGAAATAAGGTTGAAAATATATTTTCTTAATATTTTTAACAGAATGTTGCCTCTAAACTTCACTGTAACAGAACCTCTCATGTGAGGTTTTCCATACTGCTATTAAAAATTTTACCAAACTTTATTTAAAACTAAAAAATCTTTTAATTTTTACATTTTAATGTCAATAAGAGAAATGATTAAAGTAAGTTACCAAATAACATTAATAGTGCATTTTGCCTTTATTCAAAGCAAATGCAGTTTGCTCCTAAGAGATATCTAACCCATTCCTTTTTGTGGGGAGAGAAAGAAGAGAGATGAAAGGATTTACAGTTAGAATTGGCATTTAATGAAAGATACCTATTTGACTTGTGATTATGAAATAATTGCTGAGGTAGATTTGAGTTTAGAGAGTAGTGCTGGATTTTAATTTGAATAAAAAACAAACTATAATTCTGTTAAGATTTAAGTTTACCACTCTAGTACTGACCTGTTAAAAGTTACTGTTTATAATGCCATGGAAAGAGTGGAGATATGTTAAGAGATTTTATCTGTGTATATATGTATAAATATTTCCTCCAGGAAGTACCAGATCTACATGTGTAGAATCAGTTTCAAAACATAGCTTAAATTGTCATAAAACTTGGACAAGGTTAACATGCCTCCTGCAACATATACACTTCCCCTACTACAAGCTCACTCTGTCCATCAAAGACAATGCTAATAGGAATAATCAAATTTAGTAACCATCATTAGATCACTGGGAGTGGAGCTTTGGGAGAGATGGGTGATCAAGCCATCAAATCTTTCAGGCTTTTTGTGTTGGCTTGCTCCCCAAGAGCTGGGAGAGTTAAATAGCCTTGGGTCTGCATCTACCTTGGGAGGTACCACCACACCCAGAAGATCAGGGGATGATAGATGAGCCAAGCTCTCATTTAGGGCATCTTATCCTTGGTGCCCTTTTCTCTAAATGTATCTTTCTTCCCATGGTGCTAATAACACCTTGAAGAAAGTAAGATTGGGAGGTGAAAGGAGAAAGAGGCAAAATCTGGAAACTTGCATCTAGCTCTTTGGCTCAATATAGTCCAACTCAATCAGAATACTTTAGAATCATTCAGTCAAAGCTCCAGAAAATCATAAAGAGCACGCATTTGCCTGGCCTTTTTTCTCGTGAATTTTTTTCTCTCATGGACTTTGTAGGAGCAGAGATGGACCTGGCAGAGATTGGTCAAGATAGAAACAATAGAGAGTGGATGCTGGATTAGATCTCTTTGATTTAAGTGCCTCCTTGGCCAAGGATCTGAGGATATTCTCCTTTTTGCCAGGACAATGGTTTATAGGTACTTTCAAGTAAGACAGTAAAGTAAGGATCAGGACCCCAAGAATCATTAGTCAGGAAGCAGTTTTTAAGAAATTTTTAAATTTTCTCCTTAAAATAACAGTAAGTACTGATCACCTATTAATTGCTGTAGTTTCTTAGTTCTTTGGTGCAGCCTTGATTTTGAAGACTTCTTATCCATCTGGCCTCCACCTTATAAGGGATGAACAAAAAGGGATTTTTCCATGGTCAAACTACATGAAGACAACCCATGAAACCTACAAAAATATTCTTCATTCCAGTGACTTTTAAATTTGATACATGGAAGAACAAAAGGAAAAAAACTGTATGATGAAGAATCACTACTATGTTATGAGCACAGTAGGATTATGGTTGACTGATTATTTATCTAACACATAACTTGAAAAATTGCTTAATAACTTTAAGAAAAAGTCTGGCCCTCAAGCATATGTTACAATTTAGTACACAACGCTTGGAAGGAAAACATTGATAATAGTGAGTTTGTTTAATATCACAGAAGTGATAAAATTGTGGTACATGTCTTACCTCTTCCCTACAGATGAATATCGAATGCTAGATAATGTATGAAAAGAAAGAAAGCAAGAGGAATTGATAGAAAACTGATACTCTTGACCTTCCAATGTTGAATACTTCCTACGTGCTGACAAAGAGAAAGCAGGCAACACAGTCCACAGATGACTACAGTAGTTTCTCTAAACGTGACAAGCACTAAGAATCATGTTTTATAGGATGGAACAGAAGAAATCTACATGTTGAGTGAAATGTTGAAATCTCCATTTAATTACAGAATTTGAGTTACTTCAGAATCTTCAAAGCACAAAAACAAGGCTATGTAACACATTCATGCCTCTTTGTAAGTCATGTACTTTCATAATAAATCTAAGCCTTCTGATTAAGAGTAAAAATAACCACATGTGATTTTTATAAATGTAAATAATAATCATAAACAAGGCTGCTCAGAAACTGGACTCTTTTTGCTCTTTATTCAAATGAAAATTTCCTCTTTTCACCAACAGAGTTGCCAACTCATTCATTTTAGGTAGAAAACACTGCTTTGTTTCTTCTGAATTGATAAAACTATTGTACTTTAAAATCCTATGACTGAGGTGTAGCTGCATTCAAACTACTTATATAAGATATATAAACACATTATTTTTCTTCCCTACAGATAACTCTTTAAATGTATTAATGCTGTAAACCCCAATCTTAAGTACAAGTGCTTCCACAAAGGAGTTTTGCTATGAATTACATAGTTGAGAAAATGTCTGAATAATATTTTGAATTTCCCTCCTCTTTTAATTTGAGAACTTACATGATTTTGTGTCATTCGCAAAATCAAAACTTCAAAATATTGAACATTTAGGATATGGACATTTTATGATATTTCTCCAAAATATTTTTAAGAAAAACAGACATCACTCATTGTTTCACAAGATTCTGAATCACACTTTCCTAAAGAAACAAAGCCCTAGGATTTTACTAGAGTTGTGCAATGGAAACAAATTTAAGTTCAAAGAGATGAGAAGAAAGGAGTAATTTTTCATTCTGCATACATAATCTGTTAGCACAATTCTGTACCACTTTGTTCTGCAGAGTATCTCAGGAAAGAAATGGATGCTGCTGGGAAAGTCATCCTGCTGAAAACAGAGGTGAAAGTAAATAAATGAGTGAGAATTGATATAAATTCAAGTCATTTCATGAAGGATCTTGCTATGATGGATTACAGGACGAATTCTCGCCAAGTTGGCAAGCTTTTCCAAAGTCTAGCTTTGCTTTTTGTTTGAACAAGTTGTGTAGACTGCAGTTTATGCTCTAAAAAAATGACTTTTAGTACCAGGTTGGAATTATTTAGTGTCACCATATAACAGGATTCAAAAGTAAGCAAAACAGCTGAAAAATCCAACAGTCTGGTCTAACCTGGGATGCTCTGTCTCCTCACAGCCAATGCTCCATCAGGCGGCTTTGTCTGGCTGGCGGATTTAGTGTAGGGACTCTCATCTGCAAAGGTACAATGAAGGGTATCGTTAATTTCCATCAAGTTTCTAGTGTAGTGAAGATCTTTAGTGGATTGTAATCCTTCTGCCAGAGAGAGGTGACATGACATAGTAGAAAGAGTTGTTAACCTGAGTCTTAAACTTGGCTGAGCTGTGGGACAAGTCTTTGGGAAGGTCTGAATATAAGTTTCTTCCCCTATAAAAGAGGTATAAAATTCTTATTTACCTCTTAAGGTTGTCATGATCAAAAGGTGTAATGGCCATGAAGTCATTTATAAAATGCAAGAAATATGTAAATCTGGTATGCAATTATTTGCTTTTCAACTACATTCAGTGATAAATAAGTTATCAGTGAATATGTGTAAATGGAAGAGAAAGAAGGAATAGAATAGCTCAATGGCACTAAGAATAATTAGGTAGAAGAGAAAGGAAAATGAGAAGAAATACAATATTTCAGGTAAGCAGACAACAGAATATTAGTATTGCAGGAGACTAAAGACAGAGTTAGTAGGGTTCCTTTGGGAATATGAACTGACATCCAGGGCAAAGCAGAGGGACAGGGTAATCCAGAGGTCTGACCAGAGAAGCTGGGTTGAAACAGGGGAGATTGATGGTTTGGCAAAAGAAGATATATTGCAAAGGGCTAATTAGCCCTTTCTGAGAAAGAGATGAAAATAACCTGCAAACAATAAAAAGAGCAACTGAAAGGACAGAAAGTCTAAAGCTCAGTAATTGTGTTAGGCAAGAAACTGAATGATTAAAACATTAGATGACAAGATATTAGAGGAAATGGATCCATCAAATTACAAGTAAAGTGATTTTTTTAGATTTAAACTGACTTGGAATACAGACATAGTGATCAAGGATGGCAAACAGTAGGGTTAAAATATCAAGGAACAATTCTTCCTTATTTGGATGGAGGCATTTATATGAAGTAAGAGATTCCTGAGTAACAACCTTAAGATTCAAGAATAGGGTGTATAGGACTTGAGTAATTATAATGTAAAATAATGACTTAGCATTTTCAGTCAAGCTTGATGATCCAAATGTCACTTGTGGCTACATTAAAATGTTTGTTTATTTCTGTTGTTTTAACAAGAAATCATTAAAGAATGAAAAGGGACCATATTGTGCTTGGCAAACTATTAAATGTAACAAGGATTTAATTCAGCAACAAGGCTTTATCATCTGAGAACATTAATTCTCCCAACTAAGTGGTTTGTGTTTTAAAATTGAGGCATGTTTCTTCTTTAGGATGTACTTCTGGTTGAAATGATTCATGATTTCTTCATAAAATTAATAAGGTCTTTATAAGCAATGACAAAAAGAAAAGATTAACACTGCTGTAAACTGCAATTAGCCTAAAAACTAGCAGTCATGCTGTTTCATGTTTATATTTGTCACACAATTCTTTATATTCTTCCAACCATAAAGAAAACCAGTGACTTTCAGACTCCAAAACAATCAACATCATTGTTGCTTTTGAAGCAGTATTTTAGGTTCTTGATTATTTTTGCAAACAAAATTTTGAACACAATAAAAACCCCACAAAATTAAACATTACACTACTAAAGTCTCTATTTCCCCTACCATTCCCACCTGAGTATTTGAATGCTTTACTTTTTTTTTTTTGGTACTGGGGGTCGAACTCGGGACCTTGCATTTGCAAGGCAGGCAGTGGTACCACTGAGCTAAATCCCCGGCCCTTGAATGCTTTTCTTATAGTGTTAATTAATAATCAGGCAATACAATTTATATGGCACCTATGAAAACTGACCAAGTGTAAAAATCTGAAATTCATCACGAGACTGCTTAAAAATATATTTCATTTCATTATTCAAAACTTTGAAGCTGTATTTGTACAGAGTAGTTAGCAAGATGATAGGGATCAGGGGCCACCTTTAGAGGTGGCATTCTGAAACCCTGAAGGCATTCTTCAATTTAATCTCAGTAAGATCCTTTGTCATCCTTTGTGAAGATTACAGCCAATTAAAGTCTTGGATTGAATCTGGTGTTGGATTTTCTCGAAGGACAGTTAAGAGATGTTCAGCAGACTCTGGGTTATCTGCACTTGATGCTCTATTTTAAGGAGACATTTCTTTATAAACTTACCCAGTTTGCATTACAGAAGTAGTAGACCCAGTAAAATGGTTTTCACGTTTATATTTGAAAGCAATTTCCTTGATGTAGAGCTGAGATGGTCTAGTTATGCACATTCTTAAAAGGTTGGAACTGAATTATAGATGGCCACCTGGCCAGTATCTATTTCCCCACCCCCCACTCCCAGCATGAAGAGTATCCTTTCCAAGTTTAGGAAAAAGTAAATAATTATCTGGGAGCCAAAAGTTTTATTGGTCAAAAGACTAGACTGAACTAAGTTCAATTATTATCTAAGAATACCTTGCCAAAATCTGTCAGGGTGAAAGCAATGATTCCTAATGGAAGTGTGGCAGAAGCTTGGCAACATTTATTGTTAGTATTAAGAAGAGCATAGCAACAAAGAAGCCCAGTGCAATTTAACCCTTTGTTTTCAGGAATATTCCCCCAGGAGTAACTATTTGAAAATAGAAGAGGTATCATGAGCCTTTTATAAGAAGCTATTCATCATAGAATGGACTTCCGCTCTCTTGATGTGATTAACTAAAAGTCAACTCTTGATTCAAACTTTGTCTGAAAATAGAAATGGAGAGAAGACACTGTGTCAATGTTGTGTCCATAATAGGATACTAAAGGACAAGACTATGCAGGGTATTTTTAATCATTTGCATACAACTATTGAAAGCTATGGAGACTTCTATCATGATCTTCCTATACGTCTGTTAAGTGCATTTGCAGACATATTTCTACAACTTCACATTTATAACAGACAATCTACTCTCTGGTTAGAACTGAGGCTCATAAAGATAAGTTTATAGAAGGCCACATAGTTGAAGTGCACCTAGACTGAACTTATGCTCTCTTTATCAGGTTATTTCTTCTCTATCTTATTTCCTTTTGAATAGACAAAGCAATTTCACTGCTCAGTGGGGCCACATGCTGCTGCACCATACAAAAAATGACTGGACACATCCTACCACAGAGTTGTACAGAACAAGTAATTTCTATGGAGAAATTTATAAAAGGAATGCTTAGAAATCATACCACAGAGTCAATTTCTACTTCCAAGTTCACATTTTAAAGATAAAAATGTAAAAGAAATGGCAATTTTATATATGTATATATATATGTATATACGAATAAAAAACAGCTCAAAGAAGGAAAGGAATAAGTAGACAATATGTCTAGAAGAATATATGGTACAAAGTCACTCATTAAATATTTGCTGATGGTATAATAAATTATATTCAACTTTTAAATTTTATTTTAAGTATTTATTACAAGTAACCTAAAGTATGAGGTATATGCTAACTTATCTGATTCTCATTTTCTAGGTTTATGATCGATTCCTTTACAACTGTGCCATTACCCAGTTATTTATATTAAAAATCTGTGACTCCATAAAACTGATATTAAAATATATTTTCTTTCACTTTTATTCAGATATAGGATTTGTCAAAAAACTTTTACAATAATTCCTTTAAACAAAATAATTCTGATTTTCACACCAGACTCTCAAGCCTTGATTTTTATGGTAAATCATATTAACAAGGGATTTTTATTGAAAGTTGCTATGGGGCAGAGCAGACATTAAAAGAGTGAGCTACTGCTCACTAAAATAAATGCTACAAGTAATCATAAAGGGCATCGCCTGGTATCTGAACTGCTAGCTTCTTCTAATATCTTAGCAGCTGGCTAGATAATCATTGTCACACATGATGGCCTTCCAGTGCCATAGGAGCTGGACTATTGGTAATAATAGGGAAGAACAGGATCCTTTCACAAAAACACCCTGTGAGGACAAAGAATACACCTCTATTAACTAGGAGAACTGACACGTGTACAGAGGCTCAGAAAGACCTCAGTCAAGTATACAATTAAAACAAAAGAATAGTGGGGCAAACCATCTATCCCTCTCATTTACCCCAATTTGGCCAGTGTCCTCATGTGCCAAAACACAGGAGGGGCAAACGCAGGTCATTTGTTTTGATTATATATTCCAAGGGAGGCTGGTCTTTCTAAGCTTGGAAAGCAAACAGCAGACACATAGGAGGAAGGTTTCACTTCACATCACAGATGAAGCTCACATTGGAGGTGGGAAAAAAATCACATCTTGTGGAAGCAACTCCGGTCTTCTTATATCTTCCAGTGGTTGCCTGACATCAATCATATCCACATATAATCAGACTGATTCTCATCTCTTCACCTCCTGCCTCTCACATTTCCAGGGTCTGGGCTTCGCAGAGAAACCGGATATGACTATGGTTCCAGGACTTCCTGGCTGTCTTCAGTGTTTCGTTGAAAAAAAATTTAATTTCCTTTGGCTGAGACGAATCAGCCTATGCTAAACAATTCCTAGCAACTAATTATGCACAATTGAGGCACCTGGTAAACCAGCAGATCCTTTAACTTCTTGATTAGCAAAAGAAGACATTTTGTGCAATAAAACATTATGACCATTTCCCAGCAGTGGGGAGACAAGCAGCTTATGCCACGTCCTTGTCATTAGGAACTCAGAAGAAAACTTTGCTTTCTATAAAGGAACAAAATGAAATCTATTTTGAAAGAAATAATCTATCCTTGAACTTAATTAAGTTCTACAAATTGAGGTGCCTACTAGGTGCAAACAGGCTCAAAATGGATGATAGACACTAAAATTTTCAGTGGAATGGTGATTGCAGAGTTCTTATTACCTTACAGGTCCGTGAATGGAACATGGTGCTAGATTCTCCTGAGGGGAAGAGTGAACTTGGGCTCAGGGAACTGGTGGAGGTGGGGCATAGGAAGAGACAGGGAGAGCTACTGTGATGACCTTATCCACAATTACAAAATCAGAAAAATCAAGAAGCACATCATTTTAAGTGTTCCGCTAACATGGAAATTTTGCATTGGTGAGGAACCATAATC